TTTTTGTTTCTTGTATTCAGTGTGTGAACATCACTGTTTTTAAGAAACAAATTAATATTTTTTCTTACAAGTAATAAATTTTGTATATGTATTGTGATGCGACCGTCATTAAAACTTTTATTACATCGCTATAAATTTTATCATTCATCTTTATTTTAAAATCAGACCCTATGCACAAACAATTCGGTGGTGCAGTAGGAAAGAGCTTATCTGCTACGCGGTGGCATGATTTTGAAAGTTTCACTTGCAACGTTGTTTCATAAAACCATAAAAAAAAATGTACGTTACGCGATTTCTCCGTCAAATTAGGGCTGATTTTCAAAATGATTTAATAGATTACAATTTAATACTCCCTCCTATAATCTATATGTGCTCGACATATAGATTTTATTGACTTTTTTGGAGCTTTTTTAGAAAATTAAGAAAAAGGAGTCACATCAAAATTTTATCTAAATGAATTCGGAGCTATTCCAGAAAAATAACAAAAGAAAATATAATACCTTACAGATAGCGCCTAACCATTTATTAAGGCAAGGTGCTGGAACAAATTGATTCATCATCACCAGCCTATTAATATCCCCACTGCTGGGGCACAGGCTTTCCCTATGTATGGAATAGGGAGCAAAGGTATCTAAACTACGTTCCTTTATTCGCTTAACGCTACGTTCCTTTTTCATTAAAGGTTTTATACTATTTTTTGAGTTTCACCACTAGTTAAAAAAATACCTTTTATGTTAAATTACTTCCTTTTTAATGCTTAACTTAATATCAAAAAATTATGTTTGCACAAGATCAGTACCAAAATGGGCTTTTTTCCTTTTTTTGTTATTGCAAGGGTATATAATTATTATATTTCCGAGAAGGTCCCATAGAAAAAATGATTAAAGACTTCTGACATGTGGAACGAAATTCTTCATAGAAAAACGGCAGAACAGTTGTAATTTAATATTGATTTGTTTATACATGTAGTCGATGGATAAGCACTAATGAGGAAGAAGGAAGGAAAACGCAAGTGCGGTCCTGCGTGGAATATTGCTCGCACCTCTGGGATGGCTCCGCCAAGTACATGCTCGATGCTTTGGATAGGTTACAGCGGCGCGCGATCCGCATCATAGGCGATGAGGAGGTGACTAAACACCTTGAGCCTCTTCAATTACGCCGTGACGTGGCGTCACTAAGCGCGTTCTATCGTCTGTACCACGGCGAGTGTTCTGAGGAGTTATTCTCTCTTATCCCACCTTCTCCTTTCCTTCAGAGGACCACGCGCGCTGGCCTACGTTGTCACCGTCCAACTGTGGCCACAATTCCAACGCGTACAAAGAAATTTGGTGACTCATTTCTTTGTCGTACTATCCGTAAATGGAATGCTCTTCCCGTTCACGTGTTCCCACCCTCTTACAACCTGGGATCCTTTAAAAGAGGCGTGAAGAAGCAACATGCAGGCCGGTAGGGTGAGGATGGCTGGTGTGACAGGTAAAACTGCCGTATCAGCTATCTTCACGTCTGGACTTCACCTTCACTTAACATCAGGTGGGGTGGAGTCATTTGTCGGACCTATCTATAAAAAAAAAAAAGTGGAGTGGGTCGCGTCGACCCTCCCTCCTACTATCTTTTTTCAAGATTAAATATGTCCTGTAAGTATTTATTCTAGTTATATTTTCCTTAGATTAAACAGTAAACAGTTAAATGCTTAAAAAAAACTGTACAGTATTGTTTATTAAACGAGTCTTTTATAAAGAGATAGTTGATGTTGCTCGGGCTCGTAAAAAGTGGACAAAAACCTTTTTTCAAAAAAACTGAAAACCGAGTTCCATGAAAACAGAAACAAAACCACAAAAAAATAAAAAAATATATTGTTTACATAAATCTAAAGTATATTTAAATTCAAATTAACATTTGCGGTTGACTAAATCTTTAACTTAGTTGATGTCGCTCGGGATTCTGTAAAGTGGAAAATTAAAACTTTTTTAACTACTATAAAACCACTAAAAAGTAAAAAATAATACATATTCTTCACTTATTATATATCTAAAGTATATGTTAAGTCAAATTAACATTTGCAGTGTGATCGATTAAATCTTTAATTTAGTTGATTTCGCTCGGGGTTCTAAAAAGTAGAAGATAAAAACTTAAAACCACTAAAAGTAAAAAATAATACATATTTTTCACTTATTATATATCTAAAGTATATTTAGAGTTATATTAATATTTGAAGTTGCCATTAATTTGCTACTTGGGTTGACATGGCACCGACACCAAATGTTACTATGACTAAAAGTACTTTAGATTTCTTTTTTATTTAAGGAAAACATACAGCCTTATTATAATACATTTGAGTGCAAAATATTTGATTTGTACATAAGCCAAATCAGTTTCAACGACGTAATAAAACTTTACATTAGGGATAAACAAGATTTTGTATAAATATTTGAAATATGAGTAAAGAACAAGTATGTGTAATTTTTACTTTTCAGTGGTTATGTCAATGTTCTTAAAAGTCGGGTTTCATTTTCGTCTTTATGCCCCCATCGGGGCACAGGCTTTCCAGACAAGATAAGACTTAATAAGAACGAGTCCTGTGCGATTGGTTAATAATTGACCAACAGCTTAACGTATAAACTTTCCTAAGCACGGACGATTACGAAGTGATACATTTTTGGTCACCCATTCTCTTTTCAGACCAAATGAGCGAGCTGCACCATCGAGCTTTCCAAAATTTTCTCAAATTTGTGTTTTGTATAGATATTTGATACATGAAGAGGCTTTATTAGCTGTTAATACGAGTGATATTCGCATTGCATATGTTATAGCTGTTGTGGCATCCACAGTACCACGCTGATTCCGTTTTCAAACATTTCTCTCGCCAGCTGTATTACAAGCGACCCGTGCAACCTTTACGACAGCGACCTTTACAAATATTAAATTAAATAAGTCAAGTTCCCAGGTCAAGTCCACGGTGTTTGTGTACCTATTTAATTAACTTCAACTCTTTGAGACTTTACAGTATTAAATCCAGACGCTAGAGCACCCCTGACCTTGTTTGTGTCGGCTGCTTACCTCCGTTGTCGGTACCTGAGAGCTCTACGTTTTAATACTCTTAGCGTTTAACAAGAAAGCAATAAAATTAGAAACAGCAGCGCGGCGAGAGGAAAATTTCACAGAACTCTGTGAATATCTAGTCGTGGAAAACCTTTACCTACTTAGAGTTATGAGTTATCTTATTTTTTGTTCAACAGTTCTTGGACTTGACTTTTACTGAATACTTTTACTTTTACGGAATGTATAAATTTTTAAGATTGGTTCTGGCCGCGTCGACAGTGTTGCTATATGTAAGAAACTTATAGAAATTGTACAACGTTTTGGATTGTTTAGGAAAATTTACCCAACATTCTATGGTGTTAAAAAAAAGAGATTTGAGCACACATCCCTAATTGCCGCGAATAATGGTCGGATATCACACGATTATTCGCGTTAGGGCAACCTCGGGTGGTCGAATGGTAAAAGCGGTTCACATTATACCTCCGGAACCGGTGACATCCCAGCAATAAATCATATTTATAACACTGTCTCAAAATAAGTCACGCTCCGGGACAATTTAAGAATGGGTGAGGAAATCTGCGATCGGAAAGTAGATTAACGTTTATAATATAACTAGCTGACCCAGCGTACATCATACTGTCATAAAAATATGATCATAAGTGTTTTTGATGCCATTTATATGGAAATAATTACTGAAGAAAGACACCCTTATATACCGGTACAAAATTGCCTACCAACAACCTATTTAACTAGATACACCAAATAAACACAAAAATAGGTGAAGCATTTTTTTTTGATTTAGGGGGCATACGAGAGCAGGCGGCTCACCTGATGGTAAGTGATCACCGTCGCCCATGGACACTTGCAATACCAGGAGTATCACAAATGCGATGCCGGCCTTTAAGGAAGGAGTACTCGCTTTTTTTTGAAGGTTTATGGGTCGTATCGGTCCGGAAACACTGCTGGCGACAACATATTCCACAGCTGTTTTGGAATAGTTCGATAAGAAACACCGTGACACGAGATTAGGATTATCTATAATTATAGATAATCCTTGTTAAAAAATATATCAAAAATAAAAACTTTGAAAGCTTACGGCGTCCTTTATTATTTTGGAAGGAAATACGAAATTCACCAATAAACAAAGAAGGTAGACGTTATTTTAACACTGCAGTATCATTACCGAATCGTCCATTCTACTTACACAATAAAGATAATCAAACCGTTAATTTATCTCTAGCTTTAATTCCCTTAATTGAGTTTTCATTTTATCTTTCTTATAGTGGGTATTTTATCGTATAATAATGCGTAGACGTCCAGTACAATGTTTGCTATTATTTATCTATAAGTGATTTAATGTACAATTCAATACAATTAAAATAAGCCAAATGCAATAAAAATTATATATTCTGTTACTCTTTACAATTACAACGTATTCTGAGAATATTTACTTCCACAGCGTGAGTGTCTAAATGTCCGGACAACAAATGTCCGCACTTTGTGTGCGTTGAGTCCGTGGCGAGATTTCGGCGTACATCTATTTCACTATTCAAGGATTATCGTCCTTCACAAACAAAAGTCCCTCGTCGACAGAGGCCATAAAGCTCTGGTTCTGCTAAATTTATGAACACTGAAACAACTTTAATTGGTTACACAGGTTTATCAAATTCTGCGAATTACACACGTCAGTTGTTCAACCGAACGAAATTCGATTCAGTGTAATTGGAAATGAGAATGAAAAATACAACAAAAGTCGATAGCTTATTATTCAACTTTAACTGAGCCAACCGTTTGTCAAGTTCCGCGTACAAAATAACGAGTTAACATTTTTTCTATCGAATCAATATTCCCTTTCATCTCGATGATGCTCTGTAGTTACAATATTAATGATGATATCAAGATTTAATTTAACGTTTTCTATGTAGCCCGCAGGTTATATTCATTCCATGTTTCGCTTCCAGGGGCACCGGCGGTGGGGGGATGTTCGGTGACGTCAATATCTCAGCCATTTTGGATTCGCTCAGTGTAAGCTACGACAAGAGAGTGAGGCCAAATTACGGAGGTCAGTACACTTTAAAAAATTTATATGGCGAGAAAGTAAGTTTTTATTATTTCCTTTTACCACATTTTTTTTTATCCGCATTGCCATATTATTGTAAGCTTTATTGGTTTTATTAAATATGTTGTTATTTAAACTTTAGCTTCAACATGTGATTAGACTATAATCAAAAATGATTAAAATGTGTTTTGGACTACTTTTTAAAGAAATTTGTACTTAATTAACACTTTCAAATAAGAATGTATTAGAATTTTTTATTCATGGTCGCATAGCAAAAATACTGTCTTATTAATTCCTTAAGGTTCTATTTGTCTAATCCTTGTTGTTAACAGACATTTGCTACATGGTGACAGTACGGGCGTAATTGTAGATGAATATTTCGATTTCATCATAACATGAAGCAGGCTATTATTGTGACACCTTTTTTAATCATCTGATGTCACTAATTCTAACTTTTAGGTTACTTTAGGTTCACCTAAAGAATTCGATCGCAATTGAAATATCTTAAAAGGTTAACATAACTTTTCCATAATTTGTTTATAGAGATCATATCCGAGACAACATCGTACCGGAGAAAATATCGCTATCCATGATAAACAAACGGTTCTCTCATTTTAAAAATATCAATTGCCTCTATAAACAACGCCCATAGTTTCAAAGTGAAAATGCGATTTTAATTTTATTATAAAACTTTATATTTCCATTATGCTTCAGTATAAATTTACTTTGGATTAAAGTGATATAATTACAGATTTTATTTAAACCACATTATGGTTTGCATCTGATTATTTCTATCCGCGGTTTTACTTTGAACGAAATTTTATTGAATTCCGAATTTTATTCATAGCAATATTGATATAACGAAATTAAATAATGATATTAATATATACGATGCAAATAATTGAAAGCGGTTTCTTCAAATTGACTACTGTCAATATATGCATTATATGCCACCAGATGTACCTCACTTATTACTTCAAATATTATAAAAAAGATTGTAAGCATGAGATCTTTATTGTTCTAATACGGAACAAAGGGGCAACCTTTGTCAATAAAATTACTACAGAAGAGTATATAGGTACCATCTAATAAATGTCAAAGTGAAACAATCTCATCTAATTTAAAGATAAGAAGTATTTATTAGAATGAATGAAATACATAATTGTATGATAAATAAAATAGTAAAGTTGTGAACACATTACCTTTATTTTATAACGAAGCTATTATATTTTAATGTTGTCGGATTATCAGGAAATTTATTTTTTCGCATTCAGAAACTAGCCAAATTTAGTTTCACATGCCTTCTAAATCTCGATATAACACCAAAGTGCTGTTAGCGAGAAGCAGTTAAAATAAAACTGTTGGTGTCCGATTTGAGTTTATTTTTGCTGTAGTTTGTGATGTACAATTCTTTTAGATTTTTGATGCGGCAGATTATAAAGAAAACTGAAAAGTCATTTAAGTGTCATTTAGTTGGAATATGGGAAATGTTTTAGATACTATCGACACCTGGGCGGTACTGGAGTCTCGCCAAAGGCTTGGCACCTTTGCTATATTTCCTCACCGCCTTAAAAATAATTGTTAGATAATTACTGAAAGCCATTAAGTATTAAAGTCACCCGTATTCATGAGCTGAAAACACACAATTTACTTTCGATATGAGTTAGTGTGTGAATCGAAGTTAAATTGGAAAAAGTTGATGTACGTACTGTTTGACTAGACACCATAACCGATGGCCTGTCTGCTTGATGTATATCCATCAGAGAGATGTCACAATCCATTTTGATGTGTATTGGATATTATCAATAATTTTATCAGGTAACTTGAACTAACAAAATATGGTCACGAGGCTCACAAAGTTTCATCAACATTGACTTCACACGTGATATGAATTACAGGATTTTTAGATTACACTTTTAGTTCAGGAGAAAATAAGTACAGTCTTATAATTTGGTTTTCTGCCACTTTATCACTTTTTATAAACACATTACAATTAGTTAAGATTACGATTAAGATAAAAAATGCTAAATGAGACATCATTGTCTGAAGTGCAGTTATAAGAGTTTTACGTAATCTACATGACACCAACCTTTCCTATTCTTCTGTTCCCACGGTTGTGTGAGGTGAAACTACACATATTTTATGTAGGTACTAGGTATATATACGGTAAGGCGGTTATCACACTCCACAGTAGTATCCGGTGCTGTGCTTTTTACCTATAGACTCGACCCGTGGCGCCGTGTCATGCTATCGTACATTGCTTTGTTTCGCGCTGGTTTTATAATATAGGCAAAATAATACAGACAATGCTAAATCTACAGTGGCAGTGTGACAATCGCGTGACAGTGTTTTGTTTTGCGCGGTTTTTATCTAGTACACATGTTGTAATTTAAGTAATCTATGCAGTAGCATAGAATACTAAAATTACAACATGCAAAGGATTGCCTTTAAAAAATAACAGAATTCAAGTTATCCGATTGTATTTATGTAATTTATGATAGACCTAGAAAATATATTAGCAAATCGATCTCTTCTTCAGGGACTGTTAACAATATTTAAATAAAGCTTCGCGATGTGAATTAGGCTTCCTTTACAATTAATATTATAGTGAGTATAAAGCAATATCTGTATTAGCTAATATACATAGCTTTCCTTTAGTCTTTGTGCTATGAACAAGATCTTTTTGGCTCACATCCAATTTTAAACCGATGGACTAAGGCATCGTTAAGACTGCTTATTGTGTGATATGTTCCTTAAATGACGTTCCTTATTCTCGAGTGAAGCAACTCCACATTCAAAATTTATACTTTTACATAATTAATGTGATTATGATGTTCTCTTGTGGTCACTTTATAAAATATTTTTATATTTAAAGATCGCTCTAAACACAATGGCAACATAAATATTATCGTAGGCTGATATCAGGTAATGTAACTGGTGTAATATTTCAGGACCGCCCGTGGATGTGGGAGTCACCATGTACGTGCTCTCCATCAGCTCCTTATCTGAAGTGAAAATGGTATTTAGTAACGTACAACTACTTTAACGTAGATTGTCATGTTAGTATGAGAGAATAACAGAAGGGCATTTAGGTTAGGGAGTTCGATCGAGCAAAGGCCCGTTTCGCGACGACACGGGCGTTAGTTCGAAAGGGCTCCGGCGTCACGTCACCGTCCTCTGGTTTGGTTTTCACGGCGCGAGGCGCGCGCGCTACTCACGATTGGGCTTGATTGCAGGTCCGCCAGTGGAGGTGGGCGTCACCATGTATGTGCTCTCTATCAGCTCCGTCTCCGAAGTGCTCATGGTACTCGCCACTGTCAGCTCACGCTTGACTCGGTCGCTCCGGCCGCGCCGCCGCCGCGACCGAGCAGCCCCAGACACGAGGCTGCGAGCATGCCGGCGTTATGGAGCCGACCGCCCGGAAGGCGATGCACTACTTTCAAAATTAAGATCACAACAAAACTATTACACAAACAAGATTAATATTGTACGATTTGTCGAGTAATCGGTTTCAGTGGTGTGCCCATCCGGGCGTGTCTTTATCTAATTAACGACATACTAAAATGTACATTTGCTATTAAGCACCTCTCCAAGCAAGACATTGTCGTAAATTTGCTCCATTGTTGTTTTTTTTTTTGTTTTATTTTAGCTTTTTATGTTCTTGAGTAGGTATCTGTTGTGACTGTGGGTTTCTTACTCTTGTCTCTCAGAATGGCGTTAAGCACATCAGACCCGCCACTCGCCTTTAAAAATTTCTCTTACTTTACGTAGTCTTGCTATGAATGTTTTAATGTTTGTTCCGTTGTTCAGGGAGTACCGGTTGGACGTGGGAACTTCGGGAGTTTGCTTTAGTTTTATCTGTTCTATTTTGTTGTTTTATGTGAACCAAACATACCTACCTGTGCTTTCTAGTCATTCCTCAATCTGTAATCGGAACAAAATTTTGTATTTCCTATTTTTGATGGTGAAAGAGTTAAAAGTCCATTTATGCTGGCACTACCTTAAATGTCACGCAGTGAAAACGATTGAGCTATTTCGGAACGTGATTTCATGTGTGTTTAAATGAGGCCATAACCCTTGATAACGGTTTCAAACCAAAAATTTTCAACTCAGACCAGGGTGTATGACCCCTAGTGGAAGCCAAATCAAGGGGACTGTCAAAGTCACTATAGGACGTGACCACTAACCGGATAACTCTTACTCATAGCAAATAAAAAGACCTTATCCAAGTACACGTATTTTACTTACATTCACCTAATTAGTTTAGTATATGAAACAGATGGATTGTGATTATTCCTAAAATAAATACAATAACCAACATTTGCGCTTATGAATTAATGTTTGTACTTTGTTTCACGTTTCTCTGCTTGATACTTCTAATTTAGGTGGATGTTTGCATCATAAAGTTCCAAGCAAAACTTTCAAAAACTTTTTTTTATATATATACATATTAATGAATATTAATTAGATGCGTGTGCTTTGATAAGCTTAGATATTATTTACATAACAAAAAATAAAAGTATAATAACTGACCGATGACGGCAAAGATTCGTCTAAATGCTTTAATTATTTATTCCTATATAGAACGTGTGAGCGCAGATGATGTTGAAAAAAATATTAGCTTACTGCTTGACTCTAAGTCGTTACCCGTCACTTAGTGTTCAATGTAACGCTGAGCGATACGCACCTTAATTGCAGAGTTTGTGTTGAAATTATTGCTTAGAAATGCCAAGATGCGCGATAAAAGTTTGCCGAAATTATAAAAACAACTAACAAAGTCACTTAACATCGATAAGTAACTCATTATTCACCTTAATAACTAAAACTAATATAATCATATTATTTAAAAACTTTACGGCTCCATTTTGACATTTTTAAAGTGATGTCAGTGTCTCATTATAAAATTCACCAAAAAATTAAGTATGGCGTATTCAAAATTTTTACCGATTGCGGCAGTGCGATGGAGAAAAGATTTTTTTTAAATATCGATATTAATTTAATTGCCAGCCGACCAGTACTCGGTTTTGTTTATATTCCACAAATAAATATTATTCGGATATTTTATTCGTATCTCAGTATTAATTAAATGTGAGAACTAAAGTAATATAAAATAGAAAAAAATTGCGTCTTCACCCCTGAAATTGGAAATTATAACTTCAAGTAGAAGTTTTCCACTGCTACATAATTTCAAAATACATATCATTTTATTTTTGTCTAACTGCCGAGATAGGACAAAGGGAGGTTTAAACCGTTGGAGGTTGCTAGTTTTTTGTTTTTATAAAGTCCACTATTTCCGGATTACCTATTGATCCCATAATTCATAATACACTATTTAAAAGATAAATAATATTAAACTATTAATTTCGAGGCTTTAATATGAAAAAAGGTCAATTTAATTGTTTGTTTCTATATTATCATGGCTGTTATTTAAGTTAAACTAAATAAAAATTGTAACAAATATTTTTTATTTCAAACATCCAAATATAAACTTATACGTTTTACAGACGTTTCAACGTCTATGATATGATTAAGTTTACCCACTTTTTTGGGGAATGTGGCCTAACCTGGTATCTTACGCATGCGCACTGAGACAAAAAAAAATTCGCTGACATTTCGCGAGTATAAGATACAAGATTCGCGTATTTTGTATTGCGTGTCACGCACTAAAGTTCCTATATAAAACCTGGTCTGTTTTTATCGCAGTGTTTACTGTCGCTCTATCTAGAGAGTAAATAATCAAAGGTTAATTGTTAAATTCTCTCATAAAAATGTTTTCAAAATATATGACGAAATATAAATAACATCTAAGATTTATGAAATACTAGTAACATTAGCCGATTTGACTGAAAGGTATGAAAACCCGTAATCGTACAGCGTAAAACAGATAAGCCTCCGCTTTGCATTAACATCATGACGGCAATATTCAGGTTAATATCATTCCGCTTTCGCGATGGATGGTTGGTTGAATTCACGATTAGCGAAAACAATGCTTTCAGTCAGGCCAGTTATAAGGACTTTGGAAACAAACAAAGATTATCCATACAATGAATGCTCCACTAGCATTGGATTTGATGCGAAACATTATAAAAAAATTATGTTTATATACATTAAAACTGCATCACAAAGTAAATCTTAGTTAACAGTTAAAGGCTTGTGGAAGCCATGCAAGCGCGACCTGCTGGTTGCCATTCATTGTATGTTATTACATGCCTCTACTAAGATAATGTTTGTTCTATAAATGTTATTTATTTTCAGGACTTCACCCTCGATTTCTACTTCAGGCAATTTTGGACCGATCCAAGGTTGGCATATAAGAAGAGGACGGGCGTGGAGACTCTCTCTGTCGGATCTGAGTTTATAAGAAACATTTGGGTACCCGATACCTTCTTTGTGAATGAAAAACAATCATATTTCCACATTGCTACAACTAGCAACGAATTTATCCGCATTCATCATTCTGGATCTATTACACGTAGTATAAGGTTAGCAGAAAAATATTCTTTATTATTACATACATTTTGAATTATATTTTGGATTTTTGATGATACATTTTATTAAAATACTTTTATTTCAACTTTTGGGGACATTCTACTTACTGATCAAGTAGCGAACTCGAATATTGTTAGCATATATTTTATTGTTCATATCCAAAACACCTATAAAGAATAATACGTTATGTCTGTGTAGAGAACGTTATTTATCTCCCTCCTAAACTGAGTAGAATATCTGCAGTCAAGTTATATGAGACATTTATCACAACCAACATTATCTTTTAGACTGACAATCACTGCTTCCTGCCCAATGGATTTACAATACTTCCCCATGGATCGTCAGTTATGCAACATCGAGATTGAAAGCTGTGAGTCTAATAAGAAAATCCTCATCATTATCGTTTGCTTTCTTTAGTTTTGTTTTATATTTACATCCCCATTTCAATTGGAATAAATCTAATTTCGCTTCAAAATTTCGAACTCGTTTCGTTAAATGGCTGCTTTAATACCGAAGACTACAAACCTCCGAAGCTTACCATTGTAGATAATAAAACCTATTATTTCAAAACAAATTTGAAAGCGCTTCTGTTTTACGTCGACAGCCAACACTGAGCATTATTATCATCAATTTTTGGTAGTTAATGATACCATCGTTGCCATCAATCACCTCTCCGAGTGTTCTGAAAACCCAGTGGAATGGGAGCTTATTTTATCGTTCCATATCTCTGCATGGTACAGTCGGCTACACCATGCGGGACATCCGATACAAGTGGAACGAGGGGCCCAACTCTGTGGGCGTATCGAGCGAGGTGTCGCTGCCGCAGTTCAAGGTTCTGGGCCATCGCCAACGAGCCATGGAGATCTCTCTCACCACAGGTACAAGAAGCACTAACGCAAACCGTTCAGTGGTAACCCTGTCAAATGAGTAAAGTATAACTACTTCCGGCCTTTTATGGAATCTACACTCTCAGTTTATTATCTATGTTGATAATAAAACGTACCACTTTTGCATGCATATGCTTTACAAAGGCTTTAACCTTGAAATTTTTTGTCTCCCAATTGGCTTACTGGGCCTAATCGACTAAGGCCGATTCTTTCATATTTTATACTTTCATTTGTGTAAGCTATGGATTTTTATTTAAATGTTTTCATTACAGGAAACTACTCGCGTTTGGCATGCGAGATTCAATTTGTACGTTCTATGGGATATTACTTGATTCAAATTTATATTCCATCTGGATTAATCGTCATCATATCGTGGGTGTCTTTTTGGTTGAATAGAAATGCGACACCAGCTAGAGTGTCGTTGGGCGTAACAACTGTTTTGACTATGACCACCCTAATGTCTTCAACAAATGCTGCTTTGCCCAAGATTTCGTATGTGAAATCTATCGATGTCTACCTAGGAACCTGCTTCGTGATGGTCTTCGCAAGCCTATTAGGTAACCTTAAATCGCAAACATGTTTACATCAAACTATCGTGTATTGTATAATAATATTATATTTGCATTGTAGTCATTTAAACATCGCACACCTGTAATTTAAAAGGACATCGTTTTATTTTATTCTATATTTTATAAAAATTAAGTTATAAATATTTTATAATGACAGTAAAACAGTTAATATACTAATATTGATATTGCGTGTTATAATTGTTTATATTAAATTTTAGACTTTGAAATAATTTTAAAAATTTAATAATATAATAAAAAATAAATTTGTTATCAATGCAATTGTTCAAACTACTTATTATTTTTATGGTTGCTGGGCGAACTTCAGTCAACACGATCTGAATAAGCAAAATAAATCTATTTTTCACAGAATATGCTACTGTTGGCTATATGGCTAAACGAATACAGATGAGGAAACAACGGTTCACTGCTGTTCAAAAGATGGCTGCTGAGAAGAAAATGCATATAGATGGACCACCTGGAACTTCTGAACCGTTGCCGCCACCAAGAACTAGTACTCTCAATAGACCATTGCCACCAAGTCGATCATCGGTAAGTATGTTTCATTTTTGAGCACTTTTGAGCTCTATTTTCAGAACAAATCTGAAATATTATTCGTATTTGTTTACATGATTAACTTATACAAAAGTCATTAGTCCAAAATTATTCTAGTTATGATACAGTTGTATTTCATTTCTCTCATAAGGAGGTGCGATTCAAAGTACACGACCCGAAAGCTTATTCAAAAGGCGGAACTCTTGAAAACACCATCAACGGGGCACGGGCACCTCCACCACCACCTGTTCCTCAACCTGAGGAAGACCCCGCTCCACCTCCGCATCTCTTGCAGGCATCAAAGGTAATTTTATCGACACTAACTTGTTTAGTCCTTGCACGATACTGGCAATGCGAAATTTGTCAAAATTTGCGAATGTGCTCGATTTCAGCAATGCGACCTTTATGTATGCTCCGCGAATTTGGCTATAAAATGTGTCTTATTTTTAAATTCAAGCTTTTATAGTTCAAGTCAAGCCAAAAATATTTGCAGGGCATCAACAAACTACTCGGCACCACACCATCGGACATCGACAAGTATTCCCGCATCGTGTTTCCCGTTTGCTTCGTCTGCTTTAATCTTATGTATTGGATAATTTATCTCCACGTGTCCGATGTCGTAGCCGATGACTTGGTGCTACTTGGCGAGGAAAATTAAACTAATGGCACGACTATCGATATTCCTACAACAGAGACGACGACTCGAGCGTAATATTTAGGATACTCGCCATCTCCCTTACAATACATTTTGGCAAATGCTTTTAAAATTATAAAAAAATGTAATCCTTTAGCAATATAATCATGATTATCATAAAAATTGCGTCACACAATAATATTATAAGTATATTGTATAGTAAGTGGCACTGAAAACTTATTTTCTTTAGAGATTAACAAATAATAACTAATATCGTTGGTTATCCCATATTTTTGAATAGAAATCTTTTGATTGACGAACTGGTCATTAGTGACACAAAAGTTTCTGATATAAAATTGATCAATTACTCGAAAATAAATCAAAAATTTACTGCGATTGATTTTGGAAAAGCTTTGATATTTTTAAGTTTTAATGAACATGCGCTAAACGATTGCTTGTTATTACTTACATCAAACTCAATTTTATTACATGAAGCTATCATTAATAACGAAAGACTTATATATAATGTAAAAGTAAACATTTTGCCATGTTTAGAAAAAGTCAACAATTTTATCTTAGTCGATGTACGTTGCTGACTTGAAACCTACAATAATTAAGGGGATCCAAACGAAAGCTCTTTTACATTCCTTTTCAGTACCTTTAACATGTAGAAAGAATTTAAGTATTTATATCACGTTCACATATTTAGTTTTAGATAACGATATTAATGTTGGTCAAGTTACTTAGTAATAGGAAATAAAATTCTAAAACCAGATTCTAACAGTGATAATTGAGATAGCATTATAAATTATTTTTCGTTTCAATTAGTTTGAGTCAGTATTCAATTGTCAAAGTATAGGTCGCTTCATATCTCTACCAAGTTAACTTAAATTTTACTTATTTGAGAAATATATAAAAAATCGTAGTACCTATTCATTACTTAGTGCCTCTTCTTGCAGTGATACTTATAGATATTCTTATAGTTCCTTCCGTCGAACTATTCAAATTTATAAATTGTATCGAACACAAAGACCTAATTTTATCTATGGAAATGAAGAGGACTTGAAATTATTGTAGAATTACTATAATGTCAGGGATATAAAATAAGACGAAATGTAAATATTATATATACATTTATACGGCTAGGATATTCATGGATGGAAGGATACACATTATCGAATAGCAATACATCTAAGTTTAAAAATACTTACACAGTTAATGCAACCGTAATAGCTATACTACTAAAAAGTTACATAGTCATTCAAGACGAGTTTCAGCAGAAATTGTTGTACAAAATTTGCCCAAACTTTGCTCAAAACAGTGACTTACTGTTTTGTGGTATAACCATAATATTTTTGACTTCACATTTTGTTACTTTTCTTTTAATTCAGGAAACCTTAAATGAAAATACACTACACTAATACACCATATTTATCACTTTCCAGAAAAAAGGATTATTTACTTTTAGTAGTAACCTTTTCCGGCTTATACCCGAACGCGGACTAAAGTTAATCTTGATTTAAAGCTAATGCTTTCTCTGTCTTCTTTTTAGCAAACAGAAGTGACAGCATCAGTTTTCAACCAGGTTTAACTTCAGTCGATGTTCTGTAATAAGGCAGATATTGTTTAGTGTTACTTAAATACCTAGGTTATATTATATGTCTCATGAAAATTTTAAAACGTTCGTGTCTACATTTGATGTATTGGTATTCAATACTGTCTAGGTTCCCGAACATCAGAGAAAGTTGCGCTAGTTTTGTAAAAAAAATAATACCTACCTTATTTTGTTCAATTATAAAAATATACACTGACTCACTCCAATATTAAATCTAGTGCACAGAACACTTTATTACGTAGAGTAAAAGTAATATTAACGTTTTTGGACTTATGTCTCAAATTGTTTTCCAAGAATGTTTGAGAAAATTATCGTTTACGTATTTTTAATCGTTGAATGTCTACCTAGTAGATAAAGTATCTACGATATCCATTTATACAATGGACTTGACTTAAACCTGATGTTCATATTCATTAAAGTATTAAAATAGGAGCAAAAATCCAAAAATATCTCGGTGTATTGATCTGAGAGGTGTTCATTGAAATTGTGACAATTTTGCACTGGCTAAACTTAAGTGAAGACGCGTGAAAGTAAGTAAAAATCAAATAAGTAATGTAATTATTGTTTAGTGTTTATATAATCAGAGCTATTTGCTTTTTCCACAAAAAATCACAATATGTAGTTAGAATTCATGAAATGTGTTTCTTTTATTTCTTTTTGTGAATAAGAAAAGCTATTTAATTCTTATTTGAAAATTTGATTTATTGGATATTTTAAAACGAATAAGTTTTCATGTCGCTACGCCGAAATGTTGCACACAACTTGGTCATTATATATTATTGCTGTCGATGCGGTAAATATTTTATTTGTATTTTAACTTATAGTTATATACATTACCAAACTTAAATAGGTTTAAAGACTTTATCAAAGTCCTATTCTAGATGGTTTTTTATTATGCCTACTATAAAAATATTCTATACTATACCATTAAATATTATTTAATTCAACCGTCCCCCATTTATTTCGATATAGTTTAACTGTCGAAAATTTTTCATTGCAGTCCGATAATCGTACCTTTTGGTGATTTTTCGTCAATTATTATATTCACTAAGCGTCTCATATCAAACAGATAGAAGTTACTTTTAAAATTAAATACATTGTAATCCAGGATCCAGTGATAAGAATTGATAATTATATATTATTTTTATCAGAATTGATATTTATGAAATTTAATTTTATTCCAACATTCCTTTAATGGTTTTATTACAGTTTCCTTTTACATCTAATACGACACTCTTATCGGGAACACATTTTTTTCGGAATTTGCTCAATGTTTGAAAAGTTATAAGGAAAAGGAGTGCAAGTAATAGACGTTGCGTCTAGGGATTGAAATAAGTAGGCTAAGTAGAGATACTTTAAGAAGAGATTTGCCTCCTATATTATTATAGCTGAGCTATTTCATTTATTTAATAAGAATTATTATTATAAGTACCCTTGTTATCCAAGTCTTTTTAAATTAAGTTTTCAATCTTACAATTATGAAGACTGAGTCATTTTCATTTCAATTATAACTGAAAGTTATGTTATTCTGCTAACGTAAGGACCGCGGTTTTGTAGAAAAATTTGAATTATAAACTGCATCTGATAAGCTTCTTTTCAAGAAACTATTATCTTTATGTATACTAGTATTCATGAATGATCACATTCTATTGACCGATGAATTTATGATTGAAAATTATTTGATATTTAAAAAAAATATGTTAAGTTTGTAATTTAGAAAAGAAAAATTATAATATTGTTATAGTACGATTAGTAGTAACATACAGCCAAATTTATAAGAGTAATTTAAATAATGACTAGTTAAATTTCAATATGTGAACTATGAAAGAAATGTACATTTTGAGAAAGACAGAATTGTGTAAGATGTGAATTCGCATTATATTGCACCTAGGGAGTAAGGTAGTAGAGTAGCTTAGCGCAGGAGGGAACAAGCGAAATGCGAGAAATATATATTGAATAGAAAATCTAATTACATTGAACCAAAGCGAAGCCTCAGAAACTTCGAGAGAAGCCTAGTTCTGTTTGGCATACAAACATTTTTCAGCGTTTCGCTTGTAAACCTCTTGAGCGAAACCAAATTCTAAATCACATTTAAATAAATTTAGTATAATTAAAAATATTTATATGTACGGCGTGATTGAATAAATCAAAACAAAGAACATAAGATTATTTACTACTTAGATTTAAGATGATATTCGATGAAGTTGGACAAAAATATCATTCACAAGATTGGATCTGCTAATCTTATTAAACACAAAAATGTAGTTTATTGCACATACAAAATGTTTTTACTTTTATGAGAAACGTGCTATGCATATTTTCGGACCATTTGAGCACTGGAAGCTTTAAAGGTAATTTTTTTTCGATGACGGGGAGAAAAATGCGTTTCATCCACGTACAATGAAAGGTTCCTAAGCCCTAATTGAGAAATCAAATTGGAATCACCAGTAACGATCGCATTTTGCTTAGAATGCAATTATCAATTAAAAAAACGCAAAATTAGCTTTATAATTTATATTTTAATGATTTCCACATAATATATCGTTTATTATTTGAATATTTGCTAATTATTCCATTATTTCTTTATTATTACACTTTAATACGTGCCAAATGTACGGTTGTAATACTTGTTTGTATGTTTATTGTATTAAATTCTATATTTTGATGTCAAAAAGGGAAAATTCAGCTATTGCTATTTTATAGTTTTGAGAAAGAAACTTTAGGTTTCAATGTTCAGTGCACCGTAAGGAATAAATATCAATAATGAAATAAATGTATTTAACAATGGGAGTTATAAATTAACAATATAATTTTTATTGGGTAATTTAATTTAAAAATCAACAAATAATTATTGTGTTTATAACACAGTTGCAGTCAAAATTAAATATACAACATTCTGTATCACATTATTTTTGTAGTTTTGTTTTTCTTACTTAGTTAATTAATGTACGTGAAATTTGATTAAAATTAACTATTTATAAATATATAATTAAAATAAGCCATTGAATTTATTAAAGTAATTTGTTTAGATCAGGTCATTGTCTACTGGAAGTCAGTGTTTGGAGGATCGACGTTAACAGATACTGTATAATAGTATTATTCCGACTTCTCTATGTGGTATATTAAATAATACATATAAATTGTGAGGGGTTAAATTGTTATCAGTGTAATATGTGTTGCTGAATTTGCCAAGGTATTGTTCTGGAATGATACCTATCGTTAATCAATTATTGGATATTAAAGAATAACTGCTTACCATTGTGGAGTTACCCTAATAGCATATTAAGCAAACGGTTGTACTTCGAGGACCTATACATGTGTTTAGGTTAATATAAAACGCTTTATCGATGTTTTAGATTGTCTGTGGATTCACTCATAAAGTGTATAAATAATAAAGTGTCCGTTAATGACTAAATAATCTAAACTCTATATTTCAATGCATTTTTAACCTCACCAAAAGTGGCATTGATCAGCATCATGGTAAATTGATTTCTTCCGTTTTAACTATGCAATATAAGTTCCAAGTAATGATATGATAATAATTTGGTGAATTATATTAAAGATATATTGGTTACATTTAAAAAATTTGCCTTAAAACTAACAATTCTTAATACTTTTTTGATTGGTATTAGGCCCCTTTGTTTGATACATGGTGTCAAGTGACTATTACTCAAAGTCAAGTCAAATATATGGTAGTACTTTTTTATCTTATTTTAACTATTGTTACATTTAACTATGTATCGAACAACCGGCTCTTAGCAGAGTATTAACACGCTCCTGTCCCCGTAGCATGAGCACCACAATTTACGCTATATCACGTTTTTATCGCGTCTAATTGTCAAACTTCAAAGCAATTTGACAATTGAGCGTGATAAAAACGCTTTATATATCATATTGCAGTGCTCATACTAGGGGCATATATAGATAGGGGCATAAATAGGCTGATGGTATATATAGATTACAGATATTATAAATTTCTACATTACCGCGATAGTTTTTAAATATCCTCCTTAATTTAAATCATCATCATAAAAACACTTTTTTATTTGTGTCACGTCATGATGTATCTGGCCTCCTTCATTGATTTCACAGAAATGATCATGTTTTCACGTCAGTATTATAAAATACAACTAAATTTAATTAATAGCATGAAATTAGCGTGTTAAATATTGTAGCTTTAACTAGGTGGTATGTACCTGAAACACTAAATCTACACTATCGTAGAACTGTAACGGTTTATATATTATTATTAAGAATATATTTATAAAATAAATATCTTTGAATTCAAAAATGTCTAAACCCGAATATTGTACTTCCATTCTGGCGTTCAATATCCGTATTTTGTTTGCCTTCATAGCGCATGGCATCTTGTACCAAAACTATCTGTTTGAAAACTACCGTGTACTTTAATTTGAATTGATTGAACCTTAGGCGATGACCTTTTCGCATTGATTCGAAGAATACATAGTTTCTTGCAACTATTATAAGCATCGGGTTCAAGCGATTGTTGCCTAAAAGTGCTAACTCTTCATCTTGTCCAAAGCTTTACTCCATTTAAAATTTTGTTCAGAGCAAATATTAGCTCAAATGAACTAGTACTTGTTTCCACCGAACAAATGTTCAGAACAAACGCTCTAAAAAAAGCTTGTACGGTCATGCCAGCATTCGTTAGCCTTTACGTTGTTTCCATTGATTTGTTTAGCGAGTAAATGCTCGCAAATACTCTCTGAAATAAGCCAATCGTCGTTGAATGCTCCAAACTCCGAACTCGTTTAATCGGTCTGGTGTTTCCATTTACCTAGCGAGCAAATGTTAGCTCGTTCAGAACTATTCTAAACACTAAATGGAAACGTCGCATAAGAGAATGCCAATACGTGATCATCACTTCTTTGAGCAAATTTTAGGTTAACTGTCGACCAATCCAAGTCGAAAGAGGTACCGACAGCTCGATTTTGACTCAAACATAAATCAATCGCAGATTCTCAGACTTAATGCGATCTTATAAAGCATTATAATGTATAGATTGTCGTGCTGCGCTATTCTCTATGTTAAAGTGCTGCTGCTGAAATAATACTATCGTGTTAAGTCGTATCAGTCCCTAATAGAGTTTATTTTCGAACATCATTTTTTTATAGAACAAAAGGTATTCTACGTGCGTTTAATTTAAGGGACTGGCACGAGCTGACTGGGAATAATTATTTTAGCGGCCGCACTGTAAAAAAAACCACAGTAGGTACAATAAGCACAGAGATGTTTGTCTCTTCATCCCAATCTAAGATTTATTTATTGTGCTGTAATTCATAGGCCGCAATAACCAATAAATGGAAACGCATACATATTCTATTGCAGCTTAATTTTTTTATTTATTTTTTGTTCTTAGTTCCATTCTTATGCAGCATATTCTTAGACAAATACCTTAAGTAACTTATTTTGATGTTCCTTCAAATGTAAAAGCCGCTTGTAAACGTTTACCACTCTGAGATTGGCTTTGGAACATTTTTGTAAATATAACTTATTATAAGAATTACTCAACTATAATTACTCAACAAAAAGTTTCTCATGTTGATTGTATTATACTTAATTATTATTTGAGACTGATAATTTCCTGATAATTTACTGAATTATTTGTCATTGTGACCATACGTTTAAGTATTATATCTACTAAATTAGATGTTTTGTATTAATTATAAATGTTACGGTGCAGATGTTTGATTTGTAACATTTATTATATAAAATAATTTCTTCCATGAAATTCTTCAATTTTATAAACATTGGTGTGGTTAATGATGTTGCTCAAACTGATTGACTTTAAAACATGTAGTTACACTATACGAAATTTAGTTCTGTGATCAAATAAATTATGTGATCTGTATTGCTGTTTTATTTTTATCTACTATACTTCACTATACTATACTATTACCTATCGAAGTAAAGGATGCTTCACATACAAGAGTGGAAATTGAAGGCTTTGTGTGTGTTGCACCATCTTATACTTTAACGTTTTAGTTAAAGTACTGTACCCCTAGCACCAACCAATATCGGAATCGAATAGTATGGGAGTAGGAAATGTCAATTTCAAATTTTGTTTGGAAACTTTAACAGCAGCGCCATAACGGACGGAACGGCAACTAAAAATGACATTTCGCACTCGCAAACTATTCGAATTCGACATTGGTTCGTGCTAAGGTTCTGGTAGAAAAAAAATGGTCCAAATGCAACAATTTAGATAATCTCAATTTAACTGAAACTTTTATAACCCATAGACAAATGTCAAAATGACATTAACGCTTTGGCATTTTTCTATGGGTTGTTCAGCTAGTTTTTATTGAATCGATATGAGCAAATTTGATGCAAGTGGTCTGGTTGCACCATATTACGATAGCCAAAATTAGGTCATAATTTGACAGTGTCAATTAACTGTCCAAGCAAGGCCAGTTAAAATTATAGTAATATTTATGGTATTTAGCTCTGTGGTGCAACTTACTCTTATCTCAAATTAACATTATTGCTTTCCCCTTTAAAGCTAAAGACATACATACATTGCTAAGTATTTGTCTGAAATCAAATCTTTCATTTAGTTACTATGTAGTCCCAAATAATTCTTGGAACAGTATTTCAAGAATTTTCATAAATGAAATACGTGACATGTGAGGAACTCGTTTGCGCGTTGGACCTGCGACTGTTAAGCAACGAAAACTGAAGTTAAGCAACTTTCGCAATGGCCGGTCAATGGATGGGTGACCAAAATCTTATTTTCTCGAGCTCTTCCATGCTTACAGGTACTTTAAGCAGCTGTTCCCCGCTGCATCTTCAGTTGTTAGCACCCACCAAACCGCGCGTGATAGATCAGGCCTAATCTCCCTATTCCATCTTTATGAGAGGACTGTGCCCCAGTTTCATCATAATTAGCCTATTAATTTACCAATTGGCACATAAATAGGCTTGAAATACCTAACAAATGGGACTCGATCTCTTTTTTCGTTTACCGAATCAATTATACTTTCACAAGGATCATACAATATTGGCGGTATGGCGATATAAAAAGTGTATTCATGGCCGGATTAAGAGATGTGAAGGCCAAAACTGGGCAGGGCCATTTATGATTTGCACTGCCTCCCCCTGGTTCGTGCCCTGTCGAAATTAGATTTTCTTATCTCTGCCGCTAATAAAGCTCATAGCTCTCTGCTATTTATCTTAAATCCGGCCGTGAGTGTACAGAGTGCTGAAACTGAAAGAAAATACCTGTTTCACCCAACACAGTTTACGTGCGATCGCTGGGCATTAGTAAACATTCGTATTTTTATTTTCAAGATTAATAATCAGCTAGATACTGTTGGAATACTAATTATAAACCAAAACAAAAAAAAACATGCATTAATGGCTTTTTTCGACAGTAAGACCTCATAGGCGTGTTTTTATCGGTTAATAATATCGGAAGCTATAAAATCCGTGATAATTATTCGTTAAAGGAACTTACCTGAAAGTACAGTTCAACAACAATTATATGAAGTTCAATGTCTTAAGATATTCAATTAACCTTGTAGAGAGTCTTGCCACTAAGTACATTCGTCACACGTTTAGAGAGAATATTAAAAAAATATCTTTATATCATCTGTCACCACCTGACAAGTCATTTATTTTATTTAAGTACTGTCAACAGCACATTATGATGCCCAATTCGTCAATATGGTTTCTTAGCCATCTTACGTACATAGCCTGTACGTCTAACGTTGATGTTTTGATTGGGTTTAAAAAAATACTACATATTACATTATGTGCTGGTAACTGTACCAATTACCCATTTTATGTTAAAGGGATTATTGTAGCTGATGTTACATTATGGGTAGATAGGATATTGAATGTCGTCGGACAATGAACTTCGTATAATTGTGGTTGAACTTCACTTTCAGATAGGTTCTTTTTACCACATATTATACTTCAGTTCAATGTCCTAGACATTCAAATAATCTTGTAGATGTCAAGAGCCTGGTGAACGTTAAATGGGAAATATAATTTATTCATTACAATCGATGCATATTCGTTTACTGTTTCCATGAAATCCTGAAAGCTAAGACAATTATTATTATTATTATTATTAATAAGCAATTACCTAATTCTTTAAGTATGCAGATAGGTTTAATGTAAGTACTTTTACTGGAACTTAGAAGTAAAAGACAATTAATATATGACAATAAAGCAAATACATTCAAATTAAAGTAAGAGTGTATATAGACCATAACTTATCTATATTATGAAAATATTTTTTGTCTTTTGCCTAAATATGTAAGCAAAACATAAATACATTAGCGTAGTTCAAGTAAGGAACTACATTAACCCAAAGTTAATGTAGGTAACTCGATAAGAAACTAAACGCCAGTTGCACCAACTTACTTTACCGTTAACTGTTATGTCATATTGAAGTCATAGTAAAATTTAACTTGAACTTCCATTTAACTAGATTGCTAGCTCGGTGTATGTTGAACATACAGTTTTAGTTGCACCCACAGAACACAGAAAGTGGTTAGAACGGCCTTGGGGGCGGGGCAGGCGCGCCAGAGTTATGTGTGAGCAACTGCTTATAACTAAACCAAAACTTGGTTCTGAGTGCGTCGTTGCTCTCGGGTATGAGCACTGATTGGTTCGATTGTTTAATATCGCGCCGTTGGATTGGCTATTATCAATTAGGTGGAAGTGTAGTGGAGGCGATCCGGCGACATCGGTTCCCGTACATACGGTCTTAGATAACCTTTCAAACCTCTTTCAGTGTTCTGTGGTTGCACCACCGAGTTAACGCACTAAGTACCTATACAAATATAACGCTAATACATACAGCAGTTTCCCATTTGGAACTGATTTCGATACATTCGAATCTTGTATAAGCGCTTAATTATATTAATACATATTACTAGCTTTCGCCTGCGGTTTCGACCGTGTTACACTTAGTTTTTTGGGAATCCCACAGGAACCTAACATTTTTCCAGGATAAAATTATTCTTTGTTTCAATTTCGATACTAAATTAATATTTTTCTACACTCACACCAATTAGCCTAGCCCCAAAGTAAGCACTGTAAGGTTTGTGTTATTGGATGCAAGGGTAACGGATAGAATACATATACTGATACATATATATATATTTTATCTAAAAATATGTAAACATCCGTGACTAAGGTACAAATGCTCGTATTCATCATACTAACATTTGCTTTGACTCGAACCCGAGACCTCTGAGTAGGCGACGCCATGAAACCTACCGTATATACCACTCCGTACCGTACCGTACATACCGTATATGTCACATATACAATATGCTTACCAAATTTCCAGGAGCACGACTAGGAAGTTGCACGGAGGAGCTTGTGGTAATAAATTTTTGGTCACCCATCCAATGACCGACCACTGAGAAAATTGCTTAACTTCAACGATCGCAGGTCGAACGGTTATTATCAAAACGGCTTTAATAGATGTATACCTACCATGTGTACTGGTAAATGATACCTTTTGAAAAAGTTCCTAGACTTGTAATGCCATGTAAGTACTTAGGGAATAATAATCTTATGAATATACATAGGATTAAGAAAGGTAGGATAAAGCGGTTTTCGTCTAGAATCAGAACGCTTGCTTGGTAACGACACTAGGGAATATTGGAGGGTATAATTGCCAGATATTTTTAGGGTTCCAAAGTCAATAAGGAATCTTTAATTGTTTTTCAACATGACCTTTCTGTCCGGAGACTTTAAATATAAGAAATCTGTAATTAGCAAAGAACCGTCCACATCTTATGCCTAGAAAGCTACTGAAGCGATTTTTAGTTTTGAGAAGCACAAATGCTTTATTTACGTACTTAGGCCCGTATTTATCAGCCTATTATGTGTATAATAAAAAAAATATATAGATCTCCTTTTTTTGAAGCCGATTTACAAGATGTAGTACAAGTAGCCAAAGTACAATACAATAGTAGTAGGATACAATTAAATAGGTACAAGTACAATAACGAACGAACATTAATGAAACAAGGGAATTAATTTAGTTAGTTTGACCCTACATAGAGAGCTCAGGTATTATGGGAGTACTTCACATGGTGCAAGGGCGCCCCTTGTGTTATTCTGCTGCATTAGAGCAAATTTAAAAATCCCCGCTTGGTTTTTTTTTTCAAACAGTCTTTTCCTTATAGTATATTGTCTTCTACGTAAAACGGAGCGACCAAAAATCAGACAATATTGTCCACGCCTTCGAGAATACAAGATTCCAGTTAATCCATACTATTTCTCAAAACCGATATACGTGTTCCAATGTCCAAAGCGTGTTATTTAAAAATCAATCAAGCGACAGGGAGCACACAATCATAACGAAGTAAGACGAAGGACTGCCTATGAATCGACTAGTTGCAACTGCAAGTCCTTCAACCCCCGCACCCCTATCCCGTAAACCATTTTGAGGTGTCTCAGTAAGTGCAAGCGCAGGATGGTCGGTAGGTTTTGTCGTATATCTGGTTGTATAGTACGATTATTATTATGGTTACTAATAATATAAAATGAAGGTACTATTAAATGATTTTATTTAGCTACTTAAATATGCCCATGTCTCATATCTTTCGATTACCAGGATATATTTTTACCATGTCATAATAAAAAACGCACATTTCTCATAGATCTTTCGATATTCATACTAATTACATTGTTGGTGGAGCTCGGTGTTTTTTGCCCATTGTCCTTATCCTATGTATTTAACGTGACATTTACTTATAATGTCACATTCGATAATTAAACAAACGGGGGTTACGTTACTACAATACTATTATTTTTGTAGTTGTTTGTAGACAAATCTAAGGTTTGAAACTTAATAATTGATTTGAGCAAGTAAGCAATGCG